TGCCAAATGTTGCAACTCTCGAGAAGCGCCTAGGAAGGTTGTACCGTTGTCACTCCATATTTTGGCACAATGACCTCGCCTTGCCACGAACCTTTTAAAAGCGGCTAAAAAGGCTTGGGTACTCATGTCACTCACCACTTCCAGATGTAGTGCACGAGTAGACATGCATACGAATAGGCATATGTAGCCTTTATATGCACGATGTCCTCTACCTTTTGTTGTCCTTATATTTATAGGTCCTGCATAGTCAACTCCGCTATGCAGAAATGGGCGTGTAGGGATACATCTAACAGTTGGCAATGACCCCATCATTTGGTTCCTGACACTGGCTTGATGTTTGGCGCATATAACGCAATTGCGAACGTAATGTTTGATTAAGCTCCTGGCTCCAAGTATCCAATAAGCTGTTCTTAAATAATTCAGCATGAGCTGCAGGCCTCCATGCAGAGTCTTCATATGAGCATCTGCTACTATTAATTTAGTCATATGACTATCCTTTGGTAAAACTATGGGGTGTTTCGTCTGCTCGTGTAATGGAGCCTTTTCAAGTCTACCACGTACTCTTATTAAGCCTTGATTGTCAATAAAGGGACAGAGCTGTTTAAGTTTACTTGATTTTAACTGTAAATACCCCTTTGTTTGTAATTGTATATATTCTGTTCTAAAAAATTCCTTTTGAGTTTCTCGTAAACAACATTCTAGCGCTGCGTCTATTTCAAATTTCTGTAAATAAGCTTTGATTTTGTTTCTTTTTAAAAATCTTCGACAATATGCAATAATTCTTATTAATTTCATTAATGACGAATATCGCTCAAATATACCTGACTCTTTTGGAATTAAAGCAACATGAGTTGTGACGGACTCTTCTAACTCAACGTTCAAATTGTTTGGTCTAGTGTACTGGATTATTTTAGCTGAGAGGAATGATGGACCCGAAAACCATAAACTGTTATTTATTAATTCCCTTGGTTGCATACCCCTTGATGCACAATCTGCAGGATTGTCATTGGTTCTGACATGGAACCATTGGGAAGCTTTTGTCGTAGTTAAAATCTCAGAAGTGCGGTTTGCTACAAATGTTTTCCATCTGCTGGGGTGACTGTTAAGCCAAGCCAACACAATAGTGGAATCGGTCCAAGCGCTTACTTTATTCTTCGAAATATTGAGGACTTCCGCTGTCTCTGCGAGTAAGTTCGAAAGCAAGACGGCTCCACACAACTCTAAACGCGGTATGCTGACCTGTTTTACAGGAGCTACTCTTGTCTTCGCAACTACCAAAGATACACGTATATTATCCTTTTTATCTTTAATTCGCAAGTAAATAACCGCTGAGTATGCTGTTTTGGAGGCGTCACTAAAACCGTGCAGCTCCATGTCATCGTTGGGTTTAGTACTAAGCCAACGTGGTATGCGGACTCTACTAAGCAATGATAATTCCTCGCGGTAAGTACCCCATTCGTTTATCAATTCTTCGCTTAACCTTTCATCCCAGGTGACACCTGCAAGCCATAACCTTTGGATGAATGTTTTTGCTAAAATTATGCTAGGGGCTAACCACCCTAACGGATCAAATAATCTAGCTATATCTGAAATAATTGTTCTTTTAGTTACAGGTGCAGTCGTCGGCGGCGGAAGATTTACCGAGTATTGGAATGTATCTTCGCTGCGGTTCCAAGTAAGACCTAATATTTTTATTGTTCTATCTAACTTTATGTCTAACCTTTTGTCCTCATTTTCCTTCTTTTGATCTGTTTGGTTGTTCTCCATTACATCCTCTTGTTGTACTATACTATTTAAAATTTCCTGATTATTACTATTCCATTTTTGCAATATAAATCCACCCTTTAATAATAATTCTTTAAGTTGTTTGTATATTTCCAGTCCTTCTTCTACACTATCACAGCCCGTCATTAAGTCGTCCATATAAAAACAATTTAAGACTTTGTCTGCAGCTAGTGGGTAATTTTTGCCTTCGTCTATGGCTACCTGACGTAACGTTCGGACGGCTTGGTATGGAGCAGATGCTGTCCCAAAGGTAACTGTCATGAGTTCATAATCTTGGATTGCCTTGTTTGAGTTTTCACGCCATAGTATTCTTTGATACATAGTGTCTTCCTCAGCAACCTTGACTTGCCGATACATTTTAACAATATCGGCTACAAGTCCAATTGGGTGTAATCTCCATTTCATAACCGTGTGTCGTAAATCAGCTTGTAATGTTGGGCCAACCATCAATGTGTCATTCAATGATACCCCTTTGCAATTTTTCTCTGAAGCATTGAATACGACACGAACCTTCGTTGTAATCTTGTCGTTCCTTATGACTGCGTGATGTGGTAAGTACACTGCTTCTTGTTTTTTATCATCATAGCCTTTTATTTCCTTCATGTGTCCTAAGTGTAAGTATTCATTTATAACTTCTGTATATTTTTCTTTTAAATGTTGATTCTTTTCTAACCTTTTTTCTAATGCCAGAAATCTTACTTTAGCTATTTCTCGTGAATGTCCAGCTTTACAGAAATTCCTTTCCTCCCGAAATGGTAACTTGACAATATACCTACCATCTTTGTCCCTTCGTGTGGTCTCATCATACAGTGCTTCGCATTTCTTTTCTTCTGGGGTAAGTATTTTCTTTAGACTACTTGTTTCTTCTATTTCCCAAAACTTTCTAAGCATATCGTCTTCTGTTATGTGTGAATGAAATACATTAATATTTTTTATACTGATATTTTTGCTTTCTTTACTTCCAGGCTCAACTGCACCAGACAGGACCCATCCTAACGTAGAACTCTGAGCTATTAGAGTTCCAGAAGGACTTTTCAGTATTCCATCTTTTATGATACGGCTGTAAGCGTCAGCTCCCAATAGAATATCTATTTTGTTAGGTGTATTAAATCCAGGATCCGCCAGACATAAATTGTTAAAGCAGACGAGATCTCTTAAATTTGAACTTATACTTCGTTCAGGCAGATAGGAAGTGATCTTGCTTAAAACATAAGCATTTAAGGAAAGTTTGAAATCTGCATCGATGCGAGACCTAATAGTTAGATGTACCATATGCTTGACTGTGGTTGATCTGTCTTCTCCCAAAACTGAAATAAGACCTGTGACAGGAATCTTTTTCAGATTTAGATATTGCACGGTAGCTTCAGTTATGAAACATGCCTGTGACCCCTGATCGATCAATGCTCTTATAGTATGGTGTTCACCAGTTCTTGACTCGGCCTTTATTAGCGCAGTAGCTAATAAAACCTGTCGCGGCTTCAAAACCTTGCCTGTAGACAAACATGATACTACCGGACACTTTGTCGTATGATTACTACTATCCTCATTCCTTAGTTGATTGCCTTGGCCTTCATTTTTCATCTCACTGTCGACATGAAGCAGAGAATGGTGTCTTTTTTGACAAATTCTACAGGTAGTATTCTTTTTGCAATTATAAACAGTATGGTTACGTCCCAAACAGTTAAAACATATTTTGTTTTTCGAAACAAAATCACGCCTGGTTTCAATTGACAGATTGGCGAATCTTTTACAAAAACACAGTTTGTGAGGTTCGGAACAGAGTTCACATTTAAGCTGTGATGAAGTTGTAGCTACCATAGCTCGTGGGGTATGTGATGATCTTTTTATGGCTTGATGACCTGAATTAGTTTTTTGATCAAAACATTCCAGGGCACGAAAACGATTTTCAATAAAAAGTTTCATTTGTTCAAAGGTTGGCAAATCATTAATAGAATCGCTGTCATTAACGTTTAATTCCCACTGCTTTCGGGTTTCAGGATCTAACTTTAATTTCATAATGTGTATAACAAAAACATCCCATGACGTCACTCCTAAATTAATGAGCGCATTTAAACAGTCATTAGTTGTATCTAAAAGTTCCTTTAATGATGAACCTGATTCAGTATGGATTCGTTTTTGACCAAATAATCTATTTAAAATACAATTAGTGAGATACTTCTTATTACTGTAACGCCTCTCTAATTGTTCCCAACACTGAACGTAATTGGCTTCAGTGATAGGAATGTGTCGTATCAACTGTTCTGCCTCTCCGGTAACATGACTTTTTAGATAATGCAATTTTTGGACATTGTCTAATGAATAATTTTTATGGACTAATGACACAAAAAGATCATGAAAGGTTGTCCAGTCTGCGTAACTACCGTTGAACATAGGAATGGCGATCTTGGGTAGTTTACCCGACGAATTTGACAATTTATTAAAAGAAGACCCTTCACTATTTTGTACTGTAACTCTTATTTTATTTAGTGCCGTCTTCATTAATGTTTTATAAGAGATATAATCGTCTTCTGCATTATCATATATGTCAATATATTTTTGGTCAATTTCATGTGCTTTAAAAGTTTCATATAATTTAGTGTTGGTGTCTTTAAATGACGCCCAATCCTTTTCTAATAATTCTTGTCGAGTTTCTATGTATTCTACAGTTAATCTATCCTTTGGGGTTTTCTTAAAGTTTACTAAACCTTTATTGATCCTATTTTGAAAACCCTTCATAACACTAATTAAACCTTCCATGTTGAGTAAAAACCTTCTAAATTATTACAACTTTAAAAAGTATATAAATTAAAACAAAATCTTACTAAAACTATCTAATCCAAAATAAACTATTGTATTCAATTTATCACAAATCGACTGTTTTCTAATTACTATTAAATCTAACTAAATACAACTGTTATAATGTTCTTTAAATATTTGAAGTCCAAACTAATTACTTCTAAATATTTTACAAGTGTTTTAACACTAATGCTATAAAGTCTAGTCGAAATCGGGCATAGGTTCCCCGTTCCGTTGTTTTTTTACAATTATTCTAAGTTCTACACTAACATGCACAATAATCTAATAACTAAAATATTTATAAGTCCCAAATTCTTTCTCAATACTTAAAGATTTAATTTAACTGCAATTAACTAAGTTTCTAAGTTCCATTAATTAAATAACATACGAATCAATTGTACTCACAGTTGCACTTCACTTTAACACTTTCCTGTTTGACTCGAATGTAGCGCCTCCCGTGGCGTTACGACGATAGTTGTGTGACGTCCTCCTGATGACGTCACGTTGAACTGGCCGAGGATGGTCTTCCTCAGTTGAACTGGATTGCAAGTGTCGCCATCAATAGCGTCACGATTCACAACGGCTGAGAGCTTGGACTGTCTATGTAGACACCACAGGCTCCCTCTGCATACTACGAGTACTCTTGCTGCAGCGATCCACTGCGAGTACACGTACAAGGCCGACTCACAAAGCCGAGCTCACCCTATCATGAGCTATCCCGCTGTCCGGCGATCGGAGATCCGGCTCGAAGGACCAATTTTTGGTCTAATGGTTGAACTCACACAAACACACCACTCACTTCATTAAATGTGTATACCTACGGGGTTATATAATTAAAACCACTCCGTATACTGATCTAGTGAAAGTATATTTGTGATCAACTCACGACAATAGTAAAAACATTGAATGATCTTAAGCTAATCCCTTAGTACACTTAATACCGTGATCTATTTAGCATGTAACGCCATCTAGTTCTCACTTAGGTGAACTATTTATTTTTATTTATATATTGCATTGAACACAATGTTTTGATTTATCTGAACGTCTTTAAATTGTTTTGTTTGACCGTCAGCGATTGATCAGATTTCCGATATCAACCGAAATAAACAGTTTGTACTTGTTGGAATCATTCTCTGGAATAGACACATAATATATATTTATAACATATAAATTTATAAGATTCCTATTATTTAAAATTTATTGTTTATACATTTCAATTAGGTAATGTTATTTTATTTAAATAAGTCATTAAAATTTGTAGAATATATTTTAATGTCATTTCACCGAGAATAAGATAGCATGAGATCTAACAAACCATATAAAAAGAATTAATCTATATTCAAGATAATTAATTGTCTCACTTATATAACTGAGAACACGTCGAAACTGATTTCAGTGATGATAATATGATTTTCATTATTATATTGTAATATTAAATTGTTATAGTATTATACATGGACACTGAACTATTTATTTTTATATGGGATTTGTTTACTTATCTTGATAACATCATCTTTTGTTTTTTCTTCAACAAATTCGTCGTTCATTTTGTTTTTCTTCGGACGTAATATTATTAACGCGGATCATCTCTCAGTGATCGAGCATTCAACTGTCTGTGATGGATTATAAACAAAAGATAAAAAAATATTCATAACTATATATAAAATAAGAATACCAAAAAAATATAATATCCACACTAAAGACTTGTTTTTCAAACTTTAAGTATTCTTGTTTTAATTACTATTTACATTATATCACACGAACATGTTGAATATACATCATCGCAAGAGATAATATAATATTGATTATAATATATTTCTTGTTTCACTCACAGACCGGCAGTATTAAATAAATAGATTATATTATTTAGTTATTAGTATGTATATTATACTGCTAGTTACTGTTGAAAGATATATTATGGACCTTAACAAGAGGTGAAGCTTCCTCGAGGTATTAGTAGGAAGATATTCGTTCCTTACGAGACGCTTTCATATGAACTTAAAGGAACTAATTTGAGAGCAAATCAATAAACCTCACCACAATAAAACAAAAAAGGATATGAGATTATATTGGAATGTAAATAACGCAGTATAGAGAATTAAGGCGTCTTTTTTCTAAGTCCTTTAAATAGTATATAGTCGTAATTATGATAATTGTCAACACAATACTTGATTCATTGGAAAGTCTTGAAACCTCTTTGTTTAATATCGATCATTTCTCGCCTCGGTCCTTTACAGCTCTACAGACGATGTGGATTCAGATACACGCTTTGTTTCTTATAAATGATAAAAGCAGATTGGTTTTTAGTTCTCCTACACTCTTTATACAGACTTACAACTTGTAATTTTATCTCGAAAGGCAGATTTGATGAACGATACAAATTTTATGATACAATAAGTAATTTCGCTGTCGTCGATGGACTCTTTGCTCTACTGATATACAAAAAATGTATCTGCTTACAAAATATTGTATAGATATTCATGTCGCGTTTCGTGTTATGAACGATGTTACTTCTGTACATATATTTCAAAAATAACCTGGAATAAAACCACCAAGTGTACACCAAGCATTTATAATAAAATGTTCACCAATTGTTAATTCTGTTGATAAATTATTTAAAAGGAAGACATTAAAGTCACTTAAGTAACAATTTAAAACACATTCATCAGAAGTTTGAACGCTCGCCAAATATTCTCGAAACATTTTTATAAATGTATATCAGATATAAAGTCTTTAAACGTATCTGAATATAAATGTATGCATGGAATGTGTAGTGTAATGATATGTTTGTAACATACAGACGGTCACGTCTCGTCGCTCGTCCGCTCATGACAAACTCACTCACTCGTCTTTATAAAGCTCTTATATTTTAGTTTTTTTCAGTTTTAGCGGAGAATCACCCAGACGTCACTTCACATTACACTGTGGTTTATACAGTTTGAATTTTATCTTTTATAGCATAAGTTTTCAGTAGAAAAAATAAATTCTAGATTTTTTATTCCAAACCAGTCGGAGAAGATTGTGGATTCAAGATTTTAAATGGACTAAGGAAATAAAATGATTTTTTATTAGAGATATAATATTTTTAATCATAAATAAATATTTTTACTGTATAGCCGGAACATAAAATAAACTCACAGTAAAAAATGTGTCTTACGACTGGTTTTATCACTCAAGTCTCAACTCCGCCAAAGAATATATGTAAATATAACAGGTATAGATTAAAGTTTCTTGCCGCGACTTTGTCCGCTTCATCTTCGGAAAGAAATGAATCAAATATGTTAAACCAGTAGATATAATAATTAACCCTCTGGGCCATCCCCAGCGGCACGTGACTTTTTTACACAATACAACTGTTATTGTGTTTATACTCAGGCTATTATTATATTACTATCGCTGCAAAGTTTGATTGAAATATATTAAGTTGTTTTTATTTTAACGAGCAATAAACATCTGTACATAATCACAACCTTTTTCATATCAATATTCGTAGGAAAGTAAGGCTTTATTTTGTTACAAGATAAAATGATTCTTTCATATTTTTCTATCGTAAAAACATTTCTATGTATACGAGTAAAATAAATGCAAATTATTTTGATCGCATTCCTCCCACCTAGTTACCTACATCCGTAATAAATCTGTAATATATTTTTAATCCAAAGAAAACAAGAGGTTATTTTTCCAAAATATTTTTTCCTATATACACGGGATCTTTTCAATTTTTACCTATATTGCCTATACTCGTCGGTTTCCTTATCATGTATCCTTCCCTTTATAAAGCAATTGATCTGAACTGTTGTAAAGGTCAACTAAATAATTAAAGTAAAAGCATTAATTTTTTATTGAAAGCTAAATTTATTCCATATACCTCCTATAACTTTACATTATTTGTTAAGTATTATATAACAAAAAAAGCCTATATAGTATAAATGGTGCATAAAATATATTTACTGAATATTTAAATCATTAATTTGGTTTATTAAGACTCTGTAGTGATGATGTAATGTATGTTATTGGTACAGCGATACTAACAGGCGCTCGGTGGGACAGCTCATTAAAGGCCTTTGTCTGCTGAACGAGCTCAAATAAGCCGGGGCTTTGATAGAGACACGGCGTTAACAACTAGCGTGGACGTTATGTAATGGACAAATTACAGAAAATACACAAAAACACATACATTTAAATATTTGCGAGTGTCAATAACCCATACTAGGTATATGGATAAAGCGTATTTACATTATATTCTAATCTGTAATTTAAATACACAATACGTTTTTAAAAGTCATCAGTAAAGTCTGAGATAATAATTAACATTCCAATATATGTAGAAGTATTTTATTGGAAGTATAGAAAATCACAATGAATAAAATGTAATGAGAAATCTTTGTAGAGGCTTGGAGGTTGTATGTATGTGTGAGAGGTTCATCAATGAAGTTCCAGTGAACTGTGAACAGCTTTGTACGTGTAACACAACCTTTGTACTACAGACAGAGATCTTTATAAACAGCTCTGAGCCGCCTTCATGGTTTGTGTTGTGGCTATTTAAAGTAAACGAGGCTGATAAAGATATGTGTATCAGATCTTTTGCTTATAATATAATATATATTAATACCCTTTTCATATGTTATATCATGTAGAAGCGTGTGTTTCTTTTTCTCAATAAGGTCCAACGTTAGATGTCAGCAATAAATCTGAACCTTTTCATATTCTGAAAAACATTCGTCTGCGTCTGAACATTCAGTGAGATGACGCTCAAAAGAGATTCACAAAAAACGAAATTTAGGATTCACAAAAACAAACACTCATGTGATAAAAAAAAAATTGTGAGTCGTATACATTACAGATTCACAGTTATATAAAAATATAAGTCTATATGAACATTGTAAATGTACCGAAATGTTTTTTCCGCAACTTGTTCATTTCTGATTCAAACTAAAATAAAGTGAATACTAACAGTATTGACCGCTAAGTTTGAAGACTAGACTCTTAGTAGTTGGATTAAAACATATAACATATTAGGATGATTGGAAAGTTGGTCATCTCACAGAGAGGCTGAGGAACTAAAGTCTAGCGAATTATATTCCTTACAGACGTTGAGTTGACTCGTAAACAGTGTTATATATTGAATAGATAATATTTAAACTTTACATTTAAACTGAAACAACAAACACGTTTCATAATAAAATGTTATAACAAAACATATTTACTTTACTACAGAAGGGTAAGTAATCATGTGTATTGGACAGCCTGATTATTATTGTCTAATACTGAAATAAAGATTGTGTATTGTAGTTAATTATAATTGTAGTATGAAATATATTATAACTAATATGTTATTTATGTGATGTAGTCTGGAACTTATAAATGTGTCTCGCTTCATATCTCTGTATATGGTTATCGAGTTACACAAGTCTATTTCGTCCATTATGTTATATTGTGAATGCTTTAAGCTATTGTAAATTTAAAACACTCAACTTTTTTGTATTTTTTCTATATATCTACATAAATAAATTGTATTGACATAATCTTCATACTAGAAATGAGACTGTTAGATTAATACGAGTACGTATTTAAGTTTTTTCAAAATATCGCATGATAATATTTATTATACCATCACTTAAAGAGGAATCTATATAATTTATTTAAATTTTACTGTAACTTAGTTTAAAAAAGCATA